CCATCCCCGGCTCCGCCCCTCTCCAGCCGCAGCCGGCGGGCGGGCAGGCGCCTCCTTGGAGAGGTTGGCCAAAGGCTTGCGCGGCGGCGGCTGCGGGGGGCGGGCGTTGGGACAACGGAGTGGTGGGAGGCGGGGGAGGAAAGGGACCGATTTACCTGTTGAACTGCCGCCGGTCGTGCAGCAGCCTGGAAGCGGTCAGGAGCAATGTTCCCTCTAAGCTGTGGAGTCTTGTGAGCAAAAATTCTACTTTGTGAGCTACTGGCATTAAAGCTGTGAGCGAGTAATTTGGCTACTGCATAAATTAGTTTGCTCTGGAGCCCTCCTTCCTGAGCTAAGACAAAAACTGTGTGAGCCAGAGGCTAAACAATCGTGAGCTAGCTCACACTAACTCAGCCTAGAAGGAACACTGGGCAGGAGGAGCACCGTGGATCGCCTCCGTCTGCCCCTGGAATCAGGGATTGTGCTCTGAGAGGAGAGAGGGCTGGAAAAAAGCCTTATAAAATTTCCTGGTGGCAGCCGGATACCCAAAGTAAAATAAAATAAAAGGAACACTTTTAAAGAAACCCAGACCTCCCCAGTTAAGGGGTCGTCACAGAAGGTTTAGGGCCTGGGTCAAAGTCCCGTTTTCTAAGTTCAGGAGGAGCACCTTAGAGACGAGCGAAATCTGTGGCAGGGCAGGAGCTTCTCTCCCTGAGTCGCTGCTCCCTTCTAAGTTCAGATACAGGACTGCCACTGAAGAAGCCAGCAGTGACTCAGGGAAGCGCCTACCCTGCGACTCATTTTGTTAGTCTTTAAGGTGCTGAAAATTTGTGGCAGGGTTATCAGTCACTGCCCACTTCTTCGGGTATCTGAAGAAGTGAGCCGTGACTCAGGGAAGCCCATATACTGCCACAAACTTTGTTAGTCTTTAAGGTACAAGTGGACTCTTGCTCTTTTCTGCTGCTACAGACTGAAATACACGGCTGCTGCCAGTCCTGACGCTGCCTTGTACCGAATCAGACCCTTGGCCCATCAAGGTTAGTACTACTCAGCCTGGCAGTGGCTCTGTCTTGTGAGCAAGAAAATCAATAAATGTGTACCCTTTGGTACTTAAAAAAAAAGAAAAAAGGTTAGTATATCGTCTATTCAGACTGGCAGTGCCTCTCTCTGGTAGAGGTCTTGCCCGTCATCTACCACCTGATCCTCTTAATTGGAGAGGCTGGGGATTGAACCTGGGACCTTCTGCATGCCAGGCGGGTTGCCCCACCACCCATTCTTCCGTATTATTCAAGCCATGCTTACCCCAACATGGACATAAGTACATGCACAGAGGCCCTTTTATAGTTATTTGTGTACTTCGTTTATAGGCTTTCCTCAGTGGTGACTCAAAGCAGCTTACATTGTTCTCCTTTGCTTCATTTTATCCTTACAGCCCCTGTGAGGTAGGTTAGGCCGAGAGTGTGTGACTGATCCAAGGTCACCCAGCAGGCTTTCATGGCAGAACCTGTGACTCCCAGATTCTACTCTTGACATTCTACACGACACCATACTGGCTTTCAGGGGTTCCAGATGAGTTTTAGCACAAGCACTTCTTATTTAAATTGAGCTTTTGGCATACACAGTTCCCCAAGGGACACACCCACTCCCTAAATTATTGCACTGTATACCCCTCCATATCTCTGTCTCTGTTTTGGCCATGCTCCGCATGGTGTTACTTCAGTTAGTGTCTGTGCTGTCTCCTTTCTCACGTCAGCTCCCTCCCCTCACCGTAGGGATGAACCCATAAGTCATCATTGGTCCGAGGAACCCTATCATTTCAAAATCCTGTGGTATTTTATGCTGCCCTCAAAGCCACGTAACATGGAAACTCCATATTATTCTGTCAACTATCTTGTGAGGAAGATTCGGTTGAGAGAAGAGGAGGAGATTGGATGTATACCCCGCCCTTCACTCAAGAGTCTTTTATGCTGCCCTCAAAGCCACGCAACATGGAAACTCCATATTATTCTGTCAACTATCTTGTGAGGAAGATTCGGTTGAGAGAAGAGAAGGAGATTGGATTTATACCCCGCCCTTCACTCAGAGTCTCAGAGCGGCTTACAGTCACCTCCCCTTCCCCTTCCCCTCCCCACAACAGACAACAGCAGTAAGTGGGGCTGAGAGAGCTATGAGAGAATTGCTCATGAGATAACAGCTCTGAGAGAACTGTGACTGACCCAAGGTCACACCAGCTAGCTGCATGTGGAGAAGTGGGGAATCAAACCCAGTTCTCCCAGATTAGAGTCTTAACCACTGCACCAAACTGGCTCTCTTTGAGCATTCTGTGAATGGCTCTCTGTGAGCATTCTGACTGAGAGGGGATTTGAACTCAATTCCGTCATAATACAAGCTGTCCCATGCTCCCCACATCCCAACGTGGCCAAGCCATTAATAGAATATAAAACATTCTGCATTGATTTGGGAGGGGCTGTGGCTCAGTGGCAGAGCATCTGCTTGACATGCAGAAGGCCCCAGGTTCAATCCCTGGTATCTCCAGTTAAAAGATCCAGCAGTAGGTGATGAGAAAGACCCCTGCCTGAGACCCTGGAGAGCCACTGCCAGTCTGAGTAGACAGTGTTGACTTTGATGGACCAAGGGTCTGATTCAGTATAAGGCAGCTTCATGTGCTCAAGCCCTATGTAGTGCTGAGTCCCCCCCCTCCTGAGTACCAAAAGCAAAATAATAATCATCATCATACATGATCTTCCCACTGCAGTGATCACAAACTTGGATCCATTTCAGCTGGAACGTAATGTATAAAGAGTTTACAACATTGCCAATGAAAACAGAAGGGATTAGATCGACAAGATATTTAGCTGGAAAATGTTAATGCTTTTAAGTTCAGCAGAAATCCAGGAGGCTTCATAAATAAAAGATAAAGGGAAATCTATAAAGCCAAATTTGTGGGGGGGAGGGGTTGTGCATCAAAACTAACATAGCAATACTAAAATATTAAACTGCGCTCCAGCAGCCAGTGTTCAGTGATAATCCATTTAAATATAAAATTCAGCAGAACAAGAAGAACCCATTAAAAGCATTAGAGCTCCTAATGTCCCATTAAAATAATATTTCCCAACACAAATGAGTGTGTGGGTGGAAGATTCAAAAGCCAGCTGGATCAGGGATGACTTGGCCAGTCTCCTAAACAGTAATAAAGACAAGTGCTAAGCTGTCAACCAGACAGTCTCTGGTTCAAATATCACCTTTAAAGGCTAGGAGGCCTTCGCAAGCCACCTTTTCTCAGAATTGAGCCCATGTATGTCATGAAGATGATCATGCTGGCATACCTTACAGGGTTGTTGTTAGGATTGTTGAAAGTGCTTTGAACATGCTTAACTTATATGTTGAGAAGTTTTCAGAAGATGGATTGTTGTCCTTCCTTACATGCCCAGGGAAATGCTGGTCACCACTTTGGGGTCAGGAAGCAAATTTTCCCCAGGCCAGTTTGGCCAGGGATCCTGGAAGGTTCTTTCTTTCTTTCTTTCTTTCTTTCTTTCTTTCTTTCTTTCTTTCTTTCTTTCTTTCTTTCTTTCTTTCTTTCTTTCTTTCTTTCTCTCTCTCTCTCTCTCCCTCCCTCTATTCTTTCTTTCTTTCTTTCTTTCTTTCTTTCTCTCTCTCTCTCTCTCCCTCCCTCTCTCTCTCTCTCCCCCTCCCTCCCTCCCTCCCTCCCTCCTTCCTTCCTTCCTTCCTTCCTTCCTTCCTTCCTTCCTTCCTTCCTTCCTTCCTTTCCTTCCTTTCCTTCCTTGTTGCCTGCCTGCCTGCCTGCATTGTGCAGGGGGTTGGACTACATGACCTTGTAGGTACCTTCCAACTCTATGATTTTCTGATATATAATTTTTAAAGGGCACAACTGCTTTACTTCTCTGGTACCACTTCTGAAGCAGTAAGGGTGAGGCCAAACAGGAACCCCACAAGGACAGCGATCTTTGGATCCAGCTGATAAAGGGTGTTAAAGATAAAACCCATTATGCTGGCATACCCCCAATATCGGTTATTGGCCCTCTTCCCTGGTTTCTTTGTTTGCTGAGGCATAAATATTGAAATAAAAACATGAAAGGAAGAGAATGGCATTCTGCAAAGTGTTTCACATCTGATCTTTTCCCCTGCGAGGTCACAGTGAGATAACTACCTGGGCCTGCCTTCTCCCTCTTCCCTTGAGTTTCTTCATCTTGCTTAGCAAACTGGGATTCTCAAAGGGCCAGTTCGAGCATGCTGTCAAAGCCCCAACGTCCACATCCCAAAGTGGCCCTCAGAGTAGCTTTTGCCAGGGCTTTCATACTCCTCTTTTCATCGTCAGTTGTCAACTGAGGGAAGGACAAACAGTTTCCTCCAGGCTGCCAAGTTGGGTCCAAGGGAGTCTCAGTTGCTGGGGTCCCAACTAGAGTTGCCAGGTCCCCACTGGCCACCGGCAGGGGATGTGGGGGTGGGGTTGCCATATCCAGGTTGGGAGACTCCTGGAGATTTGGGGATGGAGCCTGGGGAGGACAGGGACCTCAGTGGGGTACAATGCCACAGAGTCCACCCTCTAGAGCATCCATTTTCTCCAGGGGGACTGATCTCTGTAGTCTGGAGCTGTAATTCCAGGGGATCCCCAGGTCCCACCTGGAGGCTGGCAGCCCTAGCCTTGTTGAGCCTCTGAATCATTTGGGAATTTTGAGAACAGTAAGTAGGGGCCACCACAAAATGGCTGCCATGGGAGAGCAGCAGGGCCAGTCACACAGTGTCGCCCATTGGGGTGGGGCCATCACAAAATGGCTGCCGTAGAGGGTGAGATCAGTTCTTTATTTTGCTGTTTGGTTTGAGATTCCAAAGAAAGGAATGTTACCCTAGAGATATATACCCCATCACAAATCTATTTCTCGTTTTTATCAGTGCTCCTAATCATCCCTTTGGAAATTGGCTTCCCCACAACTCTGTGTACCCACTGTTGGGGAAAAAAGGACTTTGCGCTGTCTCTTAGCCTCAGACTTCAGAGGTGGACTGTATGAGAGTCAGAGAGATAGATAGGCCAGGACCCTGATCATCCTTCCCTTCTATTGCTCTGATTGTATCGGGAAGGTTCAAGAAAATTCCCTGTAAAGATAGATTGTGCCCCTGTGGGATGGGGGAAATTGAATCCATTGGACATGTGCTATTTTACTGTAAATTCCACTATGACATCTGTGTTGTTCATATTGAACCTGTGTTGGACCCCCTTTTGGGCCAATCTGATGAGCATAAAATTAGTTCTTTATTGTCTTCGCATAATATAGACATTCTGGAACCTGTAGCAAATTTCTTTTATGAGGTATGTAGGAGGAGAGGCTCATATTAAGGCAATTCGGAATGTGATACCCCTCCAGCCTATTTTGAGGCTCTATGCTGCATGTGTATTTGATATTTTATGCCAATAAAGGTATTGTATTTGTATTTGTATTGCTCTGATGCTATCCCTTTGATGTGTAGGCTGGTACTCTCAGGGAATCTTCCTTCCCTCCGGCCTGACATTTTCTCTCCACACTATGCTATACTCCATCTTGGCACCATGAGGAAGGACATGCTTCCTGCATATCCATCCTAGCTAGTTAGATTAGAATCCTATCCCTATCCTTACAGTAAAGGACTCATATTAGTTTTGCAAAGATAAAGAGGCTCCGTGTGTAACTTTGTTTCTTGTCAGCACACACAAACCAGATAGACTCTGCTGTGTTATCTGCCTTGAGCCGTCTGCTAAACCCAAAATCCTTCCCCCACAATGTTTGAGGTAGTGTTTTTTGTTATGAATGAATCATTCCCCTGAACACCTCCCCCTCTTGGTTCCAGGACTTAAAGGGGTGACGTGTGGGCCAGAGACAAATGACAACATTGTTCCACCAGTCCATTCATCGCAGAGTCTTGGCTGTTTTATTCCACAACTGTGGGGCAGCTTCTTAGCTGAACAAACAGGTATTGTGACTTTTCCCCTTTTCAAATGTGTGTGGGGAGGAATAGACAGTACTCTCTGTCAGCTGAATCCCACTGGCACAGTTATTTATTGAATTACTGAATTTCTGTGCCACCTTTCCACAGTGCTCAAAGCAGTTTACAGTAAAAGAAGTTCATTAGAGGCATTACTTGTCTCCCACCCACCCACAGTATCCAGCTAAGTGCTGGCAGTTGGTTTTCTGACACCAGGAGCCAGACTGCAAATGGAGGCAGGCTGGCAGCTTTTTCAAATGCCTTCTTGAGCAAATAACTGCTCTGCCGGATCAGACCAAAGGTTATCTAGGCCAGCATCCTGTTTCTAACAACAGCTGGCCAGATTCCTCAAGAAGTCTCCCAAACAGGAACTTATGCCAATGCCCTTCCCCTGGTATTTCCCTCTAGTATCTGGTGGTATTCAGGGATAGACTGCCCCTGTATGTGGAAGTTCCACTGAAGGATTCATGTTCTAGCTCTTAATAGATGCACCCTCCATAAATAAGCTAAATCCCTTTTTTTTTAAGCCATCCAAGTTTTACCTATGCCACACACACACATTTTTATCATGCACCGGCCATTGCACTTGTATCTGGAAAAACCGGTTTGGATAGCCTTTCAGGTGTAAACAGAGGATTAAACAAGTGTTGCCTAAATGCCAGATACATTCTATCCTTTTTTTCCTTGTCCCAAGAATCTTTTTTTTAAAAGCTAACCAAATGTATTTCTGTGTACTCCTGTTACTTTTGCTGTGATCCCCCGATTTCTCCCCCGTCCTTTTAATCCAGTCTCTACCAACTTCACTCTTCCAACCTGCAGTGTGAGAGCTCTAAGATCTCTGAAGTGATCAGAGAGTGTGCAGAACACTTTTCCCCAGTCACAATAACCAATCCTCAGATATTCAGATTTCAGATCACAAGACATGACTTCCCAGTAGGTCTTGTACCCCAGCCCTTGACAGTTTCTAAATTAAGCACCATGCTCAAAACAAAACATCTGTCTCTGACTCACTTCTGACAGGATGAGACAATAGAACCCATTGATATTGCAGATAAAAGAATACCGTTTTTGAATGCTCCCCAAATATATTGGTTTCTATAAAGTGGACACTGGACCTTACAAATGGCTGAAATCAACAAGAGAGACACTTCAAGTTTCTCAAGGGGGAGATTCAGTGTTGACACCACGGAGTTGGAATTCGTTTGGAGCTGGTGTAAGGCAGAGTGTGAAATAAATGACGTGTAATACAGAAGGTATTGTTCTGTTCAAATCATGCCTCCACCACAAAACTACCAGAGTGAACTTAGAGGATCAGATGGGCAATGGGAGTTCTAGGTCTCCCAGATGCACGAGGGTCTGATTCTGATTGTGACCACAGCACACGCTTCAGCCTTCCTCCCCATGCCACTTTCACTTCTTGAAACAGCTTTGCTGTGTGGTAAGCTTAATGTGCTCTGCTACATTGATGAGAGATTCCTGGCTGTACTAACACAAGAGAATCCAACAGGGTATGGGCCCAGATAGAGTTAAACTCACCTCCTGTGACCAGAACAAAGAGTCAGCACGTGTGGGGTTTAACCAAATAAACAAAAGATGTGTGCCTGCAAAAACAGCCATTTTTTGAGAAGAGACAGAATGTTTCAACACTGGAAGTGCTGCGTGAATTTACTTATTTGCTTCGTTTATGCCACTCAGAACCCAGAAAAGTACAGCAAAACAGCACTGCATGGATGCAACGGGGGCAGAGAAGTGAGTTCACTTTGCTGCCATCACCACCTCAGAGGTGGCACAACAACGTGCTCTCGTTTGCGCTCGCTCACATTCACTTTGCGTTTTTCCTCCAGCTGCGCTCCAGCCATCTGCCCAACCGCTTCATAGTTCCAAGCTTATCATTACACCAAGGGGCATTCCAGGCTCTGCAGGAAGGAAGAGGGTGTTTTGGAGGAATCATGTCCTCAGCCTGGGTCATCTCAGTAGTCCACAGATAGATCACTGCTGTGACCAGAGCACCAACCCGAGGAACCAGAAGATCCCCAAGAGATGTCAGGAAACCATCCGGATCCATCGGCCTCCTGGACGGACCACCCTAACCAGCCCCCACCCTTGCAGAGATTCTGAGTGAACCTCACCAGGCAATGGTCAGTCCATGATAAGGGCAGAGTGGAAAACTGACCCAATATCAAGCCATGCATTTCGTCCCCCAAGAAAACCAAATCAAGTGTATGTTTCTGTCTATGCGTAGAGAGTAGAAATGTTCTGGGACAAACCCATGGTTGTCATGGTGGACATGGAGTCCTGAGCCACTCCTGTCAGGGCAATCTTGGCATAGACCCTGAAGTCCCAGAGGACAACAAACCTTGGGGGGAGGGATCTTCAGTGCCAAAATTGAGACAGCTGAGGTCATCTCAGGTAGGGAAGCAGTCGGGCAACAACAGAATATCTGTTCTGTCCTGTCTCCACAGCATCAGGTACAGTCACTCAGCATTGGGACTCTGGGGAAAAATTACTTGGTAAGTGCCACAGAGGCCTGATAGACCACAGCCAATAGGCCACCACTACTCCCCCTTCCCACCTACCAAGCATAGGCTGGTGCTGTACCAGGAAAGCAGGGGTAGAGGAGCTGGGGATATTGGGTTAACTGTAAAAAAATCGTTTGACTTGGAAGCACAGAAACTTTGCACAGTATCCCCAATTCTCTGTTTATTGGTTAAGGAAGAAATGCTGTTCCAACAATTTACAAAGATGATCAGACTCCAATGGTAACAATTCTCCGTTTATTGGTTAAGGGAGAAACGCTGTTCCAACAATTTACAAAGATGATCCGACTCCAATGGTAACAAGAGAAAGAAATTTTACTTACAAAGACAGAAGCACATCTTACATGACATATTCATGGTGGCACATTTAACTTATTGTGAACAGATTAACTTCAACAGTAGAAAAGAGCAAGAGTCCAGCAGCACCTTAAAGACTAACAAAATCTGTGGCAGGGTAGGAGCTTCCGGGAGTCACTGACCATTTCTTCAGAT